TGGTTGTCCATCATGAAGAAATCCTTTTAACAATGCATAGAGGTTCCTCGAGGGTTCTTTAGTAAGGGCACTGGTTATATACGGGACCGTGCCACCTCAAGGAACCATTTAATGCATATAAGGTTCCTTGCATGGTTAAATGTTTGTCAATTTTTGGTTCTTGAGTACAGATAATGGTTATATAGGAGCCGTTTGAATGCCTAAATATTCTTTGCACGGTTCAGTTGTTGTTCTCCATGATGGAGAACCTGTTGTATATAAACATTCTTTAAAAAAAAGGTTGTTTTTAGCACCAAAAAGGGTTTCAATACTGTTCCAAGTAGAACCTTTTTTTGCAACTCTATAGAATATATTTTGCTACAACCTTAAAATATCAGGTTCTTCAATGGTTCTTTGTTAAAGGCAATGGTTAAAATAGAATCATCCCACCTCAAAGAACTTTTTTTTTATATGCTTAAATGGTTCCTTGCATGGTTCCTCCATCTCATTGATGTATTATTGTATTTAAACCTTGTAAAAATGACCGTATATAACACCAAAAATGCTTCCACTATTGTTGCAAACCATAGAACCTTTTCTGCTACACTCTTTAAGGGTTCTATGGTAAGACCAATGTTTCTATAGGACCATTGCACCTCAAAGAGCCATTTGAATGCTAAAATTATTCTTTGCCTGGTTAAATGGTTCTTCTCCATGATGGGGAACCATTTAAAATGATTGTATTAGCACCAAAAATGGTTTCAACATTATTAAAAACATAGAACCTTTGCTATTGCTACTTAATAAAACCCGTTTAGCTCCACTTTTGATAAGTTGGGTTCTCCGAGCATTATTAAGTAAAGGCAATGGTTACATATAGAACCATTCAAAGAACCTTTGTATGGTAAAATGTTAAGGTTATATATGAAGAAGGCTGTATTTAGCACCAAAAAGGGTTTCACTGTTGTTATAGAACCTTTTTTACTACTATATAGAACCATTTTCTCTACACTCTTAAAACCGGACTCTTTAAGGGTTCTTTAGTAAAGACAATGACTAAATATATTAATAGAACCCTTTTGCTACACTTTTAATAAAATGGGTTTCTTCAAGCATTGTTTAGTAAAGGCAATGGTTACATATAGAACCATTCACAGAACCTCAAAGAACCATCTCAAAGCTTAAATGGGTCTTTGTATGGGAAAACGTTCCTTTTTTCCATGATGAAGAACCACCTATAGGTGAACCTTTTCGAAAGAAGGTTGTATTTAGCACCAAAAAGAGTTTCACTGTTGTAAAAGAACCTTTTTTACTATTATATAGAACCATTTTTTCCACACCCCTAAAACTGGGTTCTTTAAGGGTTCTTTAGTAAAGGCAATGATTAAATATAGAATCATCACAACTAACAGGACCATTTGAGTTCTTTAATGGTTCTTTGCAGGGTTAAATGGTTCTTTTACATGATGGAGATGCTGGTTTTTAATGTATGAACCAAGCACCACAAAGGGTTCCACTGTTGTTACAAGTCATAGAACCATTTCTGCTGCTATGTAGAACCCTTTTTGCTAAGTGTGTATTCTATTGTATAAAAGGTATGTAGAAAATATTTAAAAAGAAATTTAATAATAAAAATGTTTATCAAATGTGAAAAGTACAGTAAACAATCCTGTACAAAGCTGGAATATGAAGCTACTCAGAGAGGCTGATAGTTTAACAGAGAACGTTTGTGGTCAGTTTGAGTCCAGCACAGTGTGTGAGAGCCGTTTGAGGGTCTGTCTCAGTCACATGTCTGCAGCGCCATCATCTGTCAGTGGAGAGGAACTGACCAGTCTTCTCTGCTCCAGAGTGTCCTTGTGTTTCTGCACTGAGTAAAAGTGCTGGATGTACTGGATTCCTATGGGTACATCATTTCCACATGAATGTAAAACACTGTGACCCCAAAAGTATTTGGACACCGTTTAACCACTGTAGAACTCAATATTGTAATTATTTCCCAATGATGTAATAAAAATTGCACATAACTCACTCAAAATGTAGTAAAAACAATAATGTTATAACTCTCTCAATAAAGCGATACAGTGTCTTCACTGATAACGTAAGAATATCTTACTGCATTGTTGGGTGTCTATTACATTTTCAGAGTGAACATTTATAATACTTTATTACATTATTGGGTGTTTATTATATTTTCAGAGTGAACATTTATAATACTTTATTACATTATTGGGTGTTTATTATATTTTCAGAGTGACCATTTATAATACTTTATTACATTATTGGGTGTTTATTACCTTTTTAGGTCAACCACTTATAATATATTATTACACTATTGGGTGTTTATTGCATTTTCAGAGTGACCACTTATAATATGTTATTACACCATTGGGTGTTTATTGCATTTTCAGAGTGACCATTTATAATACTTTATTACACTATTGGGTGTCTATTATATTTTCAGAGTGAACATTTATAATACTTTATTACATTATTGGGTGTTTATTGCATTTTCAGAGTGACCACTTATAATACTTTATTACACTATTGGGTGTCTATTACATTTTCAGAGTGACCACTTATAATACTTTATTACACTATTGGGTGTCTATTACATTTTCAGAGTGAACATTTATAATACTTTATTACATTATTGGGTGTTTATTGCATTTTCAGAGTGACCACTTATAATATGTTATTACACCATTGGGTGTTTATTGCATTTTCAGAGTGACCACTTTATTGTTATTACCATTGGGTTTATTGCATTTTCAGAGTGACCACTTATAATATGTTATTACACTATTGGGTGTTTATTGAATTTTCAGACCAACCATTTATAATACCTTATTACATTATCAGAAATGTATTATATTTATGAGTTGATCATTTTTGCTCTAATTAAAAAAAAAGCTTATAAAAGGTTATGAGTATGCTTATAAACATTATTACCCAGTTACAAAGAGCTATAAGTGTGTTTGAAATGGCTTACGAACAGGAGTTCAATACCAAAAACCCTTTTAGCACTGAGTCAGACTGACGGTGGACTCAGCTTGTGTTCACTGATGGATCATAATCTCAGACGTTTACAAAGACATTTCGGCTGCAAATCTGCAGAAATTCTGCAAAGAAACCGTTCAAACCGAACCCATCTGAAACTCAGCAGCCGCCCTCAGAGAAAAGACTTCACCAGAAAGAAAACGACAGTGTTGGAAGGATCCGTTTACAGTAAGAGTCACTTGCTTCGACATGTTTCCCAACACAATGAGCTCAGTGCAGTAATAAGTAGTGTGTAGTCATGTTCCTCTGTGGCTGGAGATTTGGATCCCATATTAAGTGTATTTTCTTCTGCAGATGATCTAATGTACTCAAACCGCCAACAGGCTATGTGTTGAAACCCAACTGATTCCCTATATTCTTAGCATTAGAACCAGAGTTAGGTGTAGGTTTTGGGTTACTTTAAAGAGAATTCAAACAATTCTTTAAAATTTTCTGAATAATTAAATGGTTCAGATGTAAACAGAGTCATTCAGAGTGGTTTAGTGTAAAATGCTCTGTTCTAGAGAAACTTACTGAGTCAGAACTGTTCACAGTGGTGGTGATAGGAACCAGACATCCACCTCTAAAAGCTCCCTCACAGACAGTTTCTACATCAAATGCTTATGAATTCACTGCCTGATGGCTTGTTTTATGACAGTTTTAAGAGATTATTTTGGCCTGATATGTATTTTTAAGAGTCGTTCATGGTGGACAGGTGCACACAGGGCGTCTTAGTCCCCAAAGAAAACCCCTGTTTTCGGATTTTCCACTATTTTACCATCATCAACGTTTTTTGACTGTTATCAATTTAATAGAGAACAAACCAAAAAATGTTCAACAGCCAAATGATATTCATGTGAATCGATATTAGATGGGAGCTGCTATATTACTAGAATCCCTATAGGGGTGCTAGCAGAAATTAGCATTATAGTAGAGGTGCTTTATTCCTCAGTTTTCACTACATTTTGACATTTATGGCCTGAATTCCACCAAAATTTGGTTAAAAAAAATGAAATGGTTAAGAAGTAAACAAGTCATTCAGAGTGGTTTGGTGTAAAATGCTCTGTTCTAGAGAGACTTACAGAGTCAGAACTGTTCACAGTGGTGGTGATAGGAACCAGACGTCCACCTCTAAAAGCTCCCTCACAAAAAGTTACTACATGAAATGGTTATGAATTCACTGCCTGATGACTGAGACACTGTTTTATGATCGTTTTGAGAAGAATCCATTCATGGTGGAGGGATACATGCAGAGAGTTGTCAGGCAAAATAGTGCCTAAACTTAATATTTCAGATTTTCCATTATTTTCTATCATCAACATTCCATATAAACTCAGAAGACTCGTGTGGGTTCACTGGTGGTTCTGGATAGTAAATGGTTATTGCATCAAATTGTTATGAATTTGCTGCCTGACATCTTGTTTTATGACAGTTTTAAGAGATTATTTTGGCCTGAAATGTATTTTTAAGAGTCGTTCATGGTGGAGAGGTGCACACAGGGCGTCTTAGTCCCCAAAGAAAACCCCTTTTTCAGATTTTCCACTATTTTCCATTTTCCATTATCAACATTCCATATAAATGGAGAAGACTCGTGTAGGTTCACTGGTGGTTTTGGATGGTAAATAAAATGTCTATATCTGTGTTGTAGTCATGGCGACCCCTGGTTCCTATCACCACCACTGTAAAGAACTCTGAGTGTGCTTTCTCAACGCCTACCTTGTTTGGCCTGGACCTTCAGACTTTTCAGTTTGGTCCGAACCAAAACAGCAGGTGTGAAAGGGGCCTCAGACCATGGTCTGGTGGTCTCAGTCTGGATCAAACTGAACCGTGATTTGGTTCATTTGCGGCGTGAAAACATATTTTGGATAGTTTGGACTTTTGGATTGATTATAGGAAGTTGAGGCAGGATATTGTCACCAATTTAACAACAGAAAACTAAGAAGAACCAGAAAAATGAAAAGTGACATGAGCCACAGAAGCACACGGGGAGAGGAGATGAAATATTTAATCATAATTTGGTCCAACAAAGAAGACAAAAGTTAACATTTTTTCCATTCAAATAGAAAAGACTGCCCACCGAACTGACCACATGTCAAACACATGTCAGATGTTCCTCTACAAGCCAATCAGTGTCCAGTACAGGGAGATGCAGTCCACGTTGGTGATGACGACAGGACGCAGGTGTCAAAGTTCTTTAGTGCGCTCCATAAATTACAGTGCAAAACCAAAACCAACCAGATCAAATTATACAATATAACACAAACACAAACCTTAGTTTGGACCTTGGTCCAGACTTTCAGGTGTGAAAAAACCTCTGAGAGTCCCAGCAACAAACCATTTCACACCAAACCACTCTGGACGACTTACCACTCTGACTGTTTACATCTTTTCCATTTAGTTATGCACACATTTTATATTGGAGTTGGCCTAATATGAATAACTTTGACTACATCATGACTGCACAAATGGGAATTAAGACCATCCAACCAGCACTAGAAGGCAGGATTAGGTGGATTTTGGGTGGATTTCTCTGACCTGTCCACCCTGTGCTGTTTGTGTTGCTTCAATAACAGCTTGCATTCTGAACAAATGATTAAGCTGCATCGATAAATGATCAGCATCAACATTTATTAATAAAATCATTCATCTACAAAACGTAAAACCTCATTGGATCAACAAAAGCAGCAGTGCATCGTGAGTTAGGCAGTCAGTTCATGCTTTAGGAGGATTTCTCCGAGCTGTCCTCCGCTTTCTCTGTGTTGTCTCTGGTCAGGGGGAAGTCCAGAGACGTCCTGAAGCGGATGGGGACGGTTCTCTCCTCTGGAGGCTCTTGCTTGGTTTCGGATTCGATGCGCAGGAGGCCGTCTTCAGCCTGAGTACAGCTCAGCGCGGTGGGGTCAATGTGGTCAGGCAGATCCACGCTTTGGACAAATCCAGCTGGCTTTGCGTCTGAAGACGAGTCTGTTTGCGTGTTCATCTTTGCAGCCATCACCTCCAGCTTTCGTCCACACACGGTTACTGTGATTTCTTCTGGGGAGAAGCCCTGAGTGTCCAGAGTCCAGGCTAGGGTTCTGTCCTGGGCCTGGTTTGCGCTGATTCTGGAAGTGGAGGGTGAACCCAGGCCTTCCAGGGCCTCAAAGAGATCTCTGTGGAGCCTGTCGGTCAGCTCTCCGAAGAGGCCGTCTCGCATATCTGCCTGGAAGTCCTCCATCAGCTGGGCTCTGCGGCGCAGGAAGTGCTCTCTGAAGCTAGCTAGCGGCACGCTGCGTCTGGGCCAGAGCAGGTAAGTGGGCTCAAAGAAAGGGTCCTCTCCAAAGAGGCTCTCGATTATGGACTGGGCCATCTTCCAGGCTTTTTTCTCTGCTCCTCGTCAAGGACTTCCAAGCAAGTTCCTGGAGCTTCTGTGCTTGAAGCTTTGCTTCTGTAGCTTCTAGAGTTTCTGTGTATGAGGCCTTGCTTCTGGAGCTTCTGGAGCCTCTGGAGCACAAGCTTCTGGATTTCTGCTTCTGGAGCTTCTGTGTTTGAGGCCTTGCTTCTGGAGCTTCTGGAGCTTCTGGAGCTTCTGGAGCCTCTAGAGCGCAAGCTTGTGGATCTTTGCTTCTGGAGCTTTTTGAGCTTCTGTGTTTGAGACTTTGCTTCTGGAGCTTCTGGAGCTTCTCTGTTTGCGGCTTTGCTTCTCTCCCTCAGGAGCGCTTTGACCACATCAGACAACTTCCCGCTTTATATACACCTTCAACCAGAGCCTGGAACCTCCTACTGTTCCTCTTTTGCACCACTGATGTCAGCGCAGCGAAATGAACACGCATGCCCAAGACGGTCAGCGTACTAAAAGAAGCTTATGGCCGTATCATGTTTAAATTTATGTTCTGGTGCCTCTTCTTTCATTCTCGCCGTCCTCATTGGCCCCACAGCGCAGACAGACAGTTAGCGTTGACCTTTGGCCCCTTGTTGATGCTGCTCTGAGTGAGATCACTGTGATAATTTTAACCCCAGTGTGCTGGGACCCTCCACACCCTCCATCTTTTTGATGAGGCTGTCTTACCTAAGTGCTTTGCTGACTAGCTTCAACTCTTATGATGTCATTTCCTATAACAGGATACAAATATAAATATCTTATATAGATTTAAAGGGAAGTTTATTAAAATATATTCAAATATACTGACATATCTATATAATGTATATGGTAAAAATTGGATGTTTTGCATTTTGCAATATACACATTTGGGAACATTATATTCATAAGATTTGAACGTGATGATAATAACAGCAGTGAGTAGAAATAGACTGACACCTATAAATCAATATGTTTATAAACCACTTCAATATAGACAGCAATATTTACACATATATGGTGTATATAATTAAATGTGGTACTTAAAATGGCCTAAAAATGAAAATACATGACTTGATATAATGTATTTGTCCTCACAATAAGATGTGCTGTCATCTGTATATTTATATATCCATAAAAAGAATCTTTTCAAATGTTGAATTCGGTGAGTGCCCAAGAAAACGCCATTAAACTTTAATTTGGGGGCCTGTAGACCCCTGACCCAGTAGCTGGGAGACTTTCTGACTCAATCAAGAAGTTGAGTCAACTCGAGAAAAGCCATGTATGAGTTGAGCTGACTTCTCATTTTTAACAGTGCAGCATTGGTTTGCATTGAATGACCTCAGGCTCAGCGCTGATGCACAAAATCCTTCTATTCTGGTTTTATTAGATCTAAGTGCAGCTTTTGACACTGTTGACCACAAGATTTTAATCCAATGTTTTGAATGCTGGGTCGGCCTCTCGGGCACAGTTTTCGAATGGTTTATATCATATTAAGGTAATAGGCAGTTCATGGTTTCAATTGGAAATCATTAATTAAAAAGATTCAACATTTCTTGTGGAGTCCCCCAAGGTTCAGTCTTAGGGCCTTTGCTGTTCTCTTTGTACGTGCGACCTGTAGGATGGTGTCACTAGGAAATATACATTTTCATAGCTATGCTGACCACACCCAGTTATACATTTCCATTCCTTCTGATGATCAAGTCTCTGTAGACAGACTGACCAATTGTGTGTCAGATATTTCTCGCAGAATTTTCTACAATTAAGTCATGAAAAAACTGATATAATGATCGTTGGTACAGAAACATCCATCCATCCATCCATCCATCCATCATCTAAACCGCTTATCCTTCTGGGTCGCGGTTGGTACAGAAACAGATGATTATTATTAGTATTTTTTTGTTCAAGCTCTAATATATCAAATATATTCTCAAATATATGTTAATGTCTGTCCCAAGCTTCATATAAAACATATGGATTGTGTTTTACACGTTTCAAGTATCTGTGTTTAATAGAAAAGAGACAAAAATTGTTCAACAGCCAAATGATATTCATGTGAATCGATGTTAGCCTGGAGCTGCTAAATTACTAGAATCCCTCTGGGGTGCTAGCAGAAATGACCATCATAGTAGAGCTGTTTTTATTTCTCACTTTTCACTAAACTTTGACATTTATGGCCTGAATTCCACCAAAATCTGCATAATTAATTGGTTCAGATGTAAACAGGTAGTGGTTTGGTGTGAAACGCTCTGTTCTAGAGAAACTTACCGAGTCAGATTTGTTCACAGTTGTGGTGATAGGAACCAGACGTCCACCTCTAAAAGCTCCCTCACAGACAGTTATACATGAAATGGTTATGAATTCACTGCCTGATGACTGAGACACTGCTTTATGATAGTTTTGAGAAGATTTTGGCCCTAAAATCCATTCATGGTGGAGGGATACATGCAGGGTGTTGTCAGGCAAAATAGTGCCTAAACTTATTATTTCAGATTTACCATTATTTTCCCATCATCAACATCCCATATAAGCTCAGAAGACCCGTGTTGGTTCACTGGTGGTTCTGGATAGTAAATAAAATGTCTATATTTGTGTTGTAGTCATGGCGACCCCTGGTTCCTATCACCACCACTGTAAAGAACTCTGAACCATTTCACACCAAACCACTCTGAATCTCTCTGATTACATCTGAAACGCTGAGTTTTGTAGTAAGAGTTGTGAAGTTTTGGTCAAAGTTTTCTCTCTAAATGACACAGTTTCTCCAGACTAAACAGTCAAAGGCCCCTGATTTGTAAAGAAGTCAGTGTCTTTATTTTGAAAGTGCTGATTCTCCCTGTAAACGTCTTGACGTCATGATCCGAAGTGAAGCAGTGTTTAGTCTGAGCTGCATTCAGGCTGCTGTTTCCTCCCTCACTCAGCGTTCCCCCCGGAGCAGTTTGAGGATTTACCCCCTGAGTTAATCCCCCAGGAACGCGTCTAAGCCCAGAACAGACACCGTCACTGCTAAAGCTCCCCAAACATCCCAGCACTCGGCTCTCAGCACGACCCTCAGCTCTGATTCAGTTACCTGATATTTATAACCATGACCTGCTTTACCGCACACTTCACTGACTTACTGACACTGACACAGCCGTGAGTCACAGACTGCAGTCACAACACCACATAGCATTTCACTGATCTCGGTCACATTAATAATCAGAATCAAGTTATAATGAAATTAATATGCAGAAAGAAGTTATGATAAAACAATAAACAGAATCAAGTTATAGTAAAATAATATTCAGAATGAAGTGATAATAAAATAATATTCAGAATGAAGTGATAATAAAATAATATTCAGAATGAAGTTATAATAAAATAATATTCAGAAAGAAGTGATAATAAAATAATATTCAGATGAAATGATAATAAAATAATATCCAGAATGAAGCGATAATTAAATTAATATTCAGATGAAATTATAATAAAATAATATCCAGAATGAAGTGATAATAAAATAATATTCAGATGAAATTATAATAAAATAATATCCAGAATGAAGTGATAATAAAATAATATTCAGATGAAATGATAATAAAATAATATCCAGAATGAAGTGATAATAAATAATATTCAGATGAAATGATAATAAAATAATATCCAGAATGAAGTGATAATAAAATAATATTCAGATAAAATGATAATAAAATAATATCCAGAATGAAGTGATAATAAAATAATATTCAGAATGAAGTTATAATAAAATCAAATTCTGAATGAAATTATAATAAAAATTATTAACCAGAATGAACTTATAATTAAGATCAAAATTAAGATATTATAAAATAATAGGCAGAATTAAGTTCAAGTTCATATCAAAATAATATCTATATATAATATCTATATTATAATATTCAGAATAAAGTTGTAATAAAATCAACAATTAGAATGAAATGAAAATAAAATATTCACAATGAAATTACAATTAAATGTAAATCCTGAAAGAATTTATAACAATATCAATGTCCAGAGAAGAGTTACAATAAATATATGATCAAAAAAATATACAGTAAAATGAATATCCATAATTAAATTATTATGAAGTTAATTTCAAGAATGAAATCAATTTTCCCCACTAAAAATACAATAAAATGTATATTCAGAATTAGGTTATAATAAAATGAATATGCCGGATGAAATTATAATAAAATTAACAGCTAGAATAAATTCATAATAAAAAACATATCCAAAAAGATGTTCTAAAAAAATTAATATCCAGAATAGGATTATAATTGAAGCGAAGTTCCAGAATTATAGGTAGAAAATGGATATTTAAAATGAAATTATAATAAAGTTAATATCCAGAATGCCTCATATTTTCAGTGTAAATCTCAGTGAAAAAACACTATAGATGTATAATTACTGTATATGATCTTCTTCTTGTTTCTGAAAAACTTCAAGTGTTTAATAAAACATTTAACAAAATGTTTTGATATCTAGTTCATGATATTTGAGTCTACAGCATGGAAGTTAATGTGAAATAAAGTTTGTGATATTACATGTGATTCCAAAGTTGTGAAATTTGTGGTGTATATTTTTATTGTGTTATAAAGTTCCTCTTCATAAAGACCACAGAGGTTTTCATATCTAACACCAAAAACTGGAACTGAGAGGAGCAGATTTCACCGCTCTGATATTACATATAACACACATACGGAATTTGAGACCACTGGCTGACTGTGATTCTGTTTCTCATTAAAAACTGCGGAGAGTGTGTGTGTATATATATACATACATATACATGTATAATTTTACATTATATATATACACCAATCAGGCATAACATTAGGACCACCTCCTTGTTTCTACACTCATTGTCCATTTTATCAGCTCCACTTACTATATAGGTGCACTTTGTAGTTCTACAGTTACAGACTGTAGTCCATCTGTTTCTCTGCATACTTTGTTCTTCAGTGGTCAGGACCCCCATGGACCCTCACAGAGCAGTTACAATTTGGGTGGTGGATCATTCTCAGCACTGCAGTAACACTGATGTGGTGGTGGTGTGTTAGTGTGTGTTGTGCTGGTCTGAGTGGATCAGACCCAGTGCTGCTGGAGTTTTTAAACACCTCAGTGTCGCTGCTGGACTGAGAATAGTCCACCAACCAAAAATATCCAGCCAACAGCGTCCTGTGGGCAGCGTCTTGTGACCACTGATGAAGGACTAGAGGATGACCAACACACACTGTGCAGCAGCAGATGAGCTATCGTCTCTGACTTTACATCTACAAGGTGGACTGACAAGGTAGGAGTGTCTAATAGAGTGGACAGTGAGTGGACACAGTGTTTAAAAACTCCAGCAGCACTGCTGTGTCTG